TGTGTATGTGTGTGTGTGTACGTGTTCGATCAGTCCATGACTGCCAAGCTCAGCGATCTAGCCTGACTCTTCTTGTACATTTTCCACACCAGACATGTTGCCAAGAAAGAAGAAAAACCTGTCAAAAGCCAAGAGCGGTACGTAGTTGCTGGCGAAGGTGACCAGTACGAGCTGAAAAAGACAGAAAGCGAGGGGGAGAAACATGATAACGATGACGCTCACAGTGATGCCTCAGACAGGTTTGGTTTAACGTTTGTTTTATGCTGTATTACTATCATTTTTGGCTTAACGTTTGTTTTATGCTGTGTTGCTAAATTAAAGTGTGGCTTAACGTTTTTGTTTTTAAAATGCTGTGTTGCTAAAATATTTGGCTCAACGTTAGTTTTATGTTGTGTTACTAATATGTTTGGCTTAACGTCCGTTTTAGGTTGTGTTGTTAAAATGTCTAGCTCAGCGTTTTTCAAAATCTTTTGCTTCTAAAAAGTGTCATTTTTACCCCCCCCCCCCTTTAAAAAGTCGCAACATGTTCTTGATCTGTTAGGGCTACGGTTTTAGTTTAGACCAGTGCTCTGCCTTTTTTTTTTGGTCTCTTGCCCATTTCTATGAGATTGACACCAACCTTTTAAAAGAAAAACGTTCGTTTGATAGAGTCCAATAGTGGATTACGTACATAATAATTATTGCAACATGTAACAGTTACTGATAGAGATTCAGGGAATATAGGTATATGTCAAGGATCTGAGAGCCATGACGATATTAGATATGATAGTGGTGGTGAGTGATCATGAGAGATGGTGTTTATGTAAATCATTATTGAGAAGATATGAGTTAAGTCACTGTCAGCTAGGTTTTAAAAAAAATATGATGTTGCATTAGTCCTATCTTCCTCTGCCCAATCACGGGGGAAATTGGGCACCCTCTATTCAGTTACCTACTGGAAGCGACTTAAATGTCACCGTGAAATTACGAAACGGTAGACAGAGCCTCCTCTAATGTGACTATGTTAGTGTAGACCTATGCTTACGAACATTCTTGTGATTTTATCCTATCATTGACACAACTGAGATCATTGTATGTTCAGTATGCTCACTACAGTTGGTATGAATGAATTTCTATATCGGTATGCTCTGGCTTTCTAGAAAATACGTCGTTTACTGATAAGTGGAACATAATAATATGCTGTGCCAATGTAGCCGCCAGATCGTGTTGTTTTCTTGTTTCCTCTCAGCCAAGAAGACGATCACATGGCCCAGATGGAGCGCGGGATGTTGCTGTGTATCTGCTACGCCGCCAACACTGGGGGGATTGCAAGTCTCACCGGCACCGGCCCCAACCTGGTGCTTAAGGCCATGGTAGACGAGTGAGTGGCCTGTTGGGTGTTTGGGGAGGTCTTATATCATCATCATCATCATCATCATCATCATCATCATCATCATCATCATCATCATCATCATCATCATCATCATCATCATCATCATCATCATCATATCATCGCTTCTGTTATTATGTTTCTCATTTTTGTTGTTTGATCATCATCTAGACACTGTCAATGAGGCGGGCCCTTTTACCCAATTGGTATTTCGTGGTGCGGATTGTTTAGTAGATTAATTTTAAGGCGGTCTGCTGAAAACTCGCCAAAAGCTGGACCATCATAATAGTATAACCAACAGACGTTGGTGGAACCGATGACTTTTAGTATACGGCGCGCCAGTTCAGTTATAATTTGACATAGTGCGGTTGTTTACAGTCATAACAAACATCTAATAAGTCCCAGAAAATCCCTCTGATCAATGGGTAAAACCCTACGTTTACTTCTTGTTTACTTTTGTTCTCGGTTTGGTGTTTATTTTGTGAAAAACATTTAAGCAGGAATTACAGAGAAGCTTGTGATACTGAAAACTTGGATGACAAAATTGGCCCAGTATAAAGCAGGAATAAAGCCTTAGGTATATTATTGAAAATTAAAGAATTATGTTAATTTTTCTACGAATGAAGCAACCTATCTTCTGTTGTTGTCACGTGTCCAAACAAAGCAGGAAGCACGGATCATTGTGGAGGAAGAGAGGAAAAAAGGGGATGGGGTGGGGGGGGGGGGTTATGATGGCGGTATAAAAATTGGCTATGCTAATTATGGTATTCATAAAGTACTGTGTCTGGTGGATACAGAGGAAGAAGCCCAGGAAAAAATCGACTGAGAGGGCCATAGAAACATTAAACAAAACAAATATATAACCATGCAACAGGTGACACAACAAACTAGAGAAAGACGTTTGATTCTCCCCCTCTATACCATAATGTAAAAGAGGGCGAAAAAAATTAATGTGAGTAAATAAGGCACAGCAGTCTCCTTTACGGTGATATATTGACATAAATTATGCTAATTGTGGTATGAATAAGGCACGACAGCTTTGTTTTCGATGACTTAATGCATAAATTATGCTAATTTTAGTATGAATAAGGCACTACAGCCTCGTTTCCGATGACGTAATTAATAAATTATGCTAACTGTAGTAGGAATAAGGAAATGCAGCCTCAATTCCGTTGACGTAAGACATACATTATGCTAATTGTGATATGAATAAGGCTCCTTTCCGATGCTGTCCCCAGACTGTACCACAAGCACGACCTGCCCAGCCCTGTGTCGTTTGGGACGTGGATGGCTGTGGGTCTACCGCTCTCCGCTGTGGTCCTCATTGTCTGTTGGATCTGGCTGCAGGTTGCCTTCCTGAGGTGCAGGTAACTACGCCATACAGCTGGACCAAACACAATTTTTTGTGTTAGGCGTTTACTGTTGCATGTGTTCCGATGTAGTAAACGTCGCTGTTAGTTCCTCAAATGCTGTCTTGGGCTTAGATAGATACACGCAAATACACCAGAAAATGCAATAAATGCATCCGAAAACAAAAACCTGAAAAACTACCCTCAGCCTAGAAAACGTAACAAGGAAGTTAGAGAACACAATGAACACATTGGATGCAAAACAAATACACATGAAAACCCGATAAGTATGTCAGAAAGCCTAATGAGTGTGCCGTATTACGTAATAGGCCAGAAAATTACTTATTCACCTGGCTGAGATTCGAATTCGTTTCAGTTTCCTCGCTCACACAACGGCCTGATGTTGACGCATCACATTTCTATTTGTCCACGAAAGGTGGTAGATAATATTGACTTGTTGCATTTCTATTTGTCCATAGAAAGTGGTAGTTATTTACTAGTTATTGACTCGTCACATTTCTATTTAATTTGTCCCCAGAGGGTGGTAGATATTGACGCGTCTCATTTCTGTTTGACCACAGAGGATGATAGATGTTGTTGATACATCGTATTTTTGCTTGACCACAGACGGTCGTACTGCAGCTGTTGTTCACCTGACACAGAGGACAGAAAAATTCACCTTGCTGCAATTCGAACTCAGGTCGCTGTTTATCCGCTCACTCAGCGGCCAGATGTTGACTCGCCACATTTCTGTTTGTCCACAGATATGTTGATAGATGGTTTTGATACGTCACATTTCAGATTGCTTCAACACAGATGTTGATAGATGTTGTGGATGTGTAGCATATCTGCTTGACCACAGATGGTGATAGAAGTTGAGAGGTCACATTTCTGCTTGATCACAGATGGTGATATATTTTTAGAGGTCACATTTCTGGCTGTTCACAGAGGGCCGTGCTGCAGCTGTTGTTCACCTGCCACAGAGAACAGCCGGAGGGTTAAAGAACTCATCGCAGCGGAGTACCGCAAGCTGGGTCCTGTCTCGTGAGTGGTTGTGGGAGGTGGACTGGAATTTGTTTTGTTGAAGAGAAAAATTTATCGGAACGCTTGTAAGTTTTGTTTGTGCTAGCGAAACTACATCAGCCTTTCTGTGCATCTTTGGTGCAGCGGCTAGGCTCATCGCCGTCGCACGCAGAAGACGTAACTTCGGTTCCCGAGTACGGAGATGTTTATCACGTATCTGCATCTGTCTGCTGGAAAGCTGTATCTTTCTCAGACCGCCGAGGAGAATCAATGGCTGAGTCCTGTCTCGTGGGTGGTTTGAGAACTGTCAACATTGAATACACGATTATAGTACGGCTTCGTTGTAGATCACATCTTAGGACAGTCTTGCCTTGCCAGGAAAGCCGGTAGATCCTCAGATATGATCTGTCTGTCCTTTTTCTATAATAATTTACCCACGGCCAAAGGGGCACCTGTGATGATTAATAATAGAAGCGCTAACGTGTGAAAGATTGTTTCTCAGAATGTTTCAGAATATTCTAGGGTTCGTCAGAGATGTGATGACTTGTAAGGGTACGAAGCCTTTTTTTCTGGCCGAGTTGTGTGGCATATTTATGAGTCGGGGGGGGGGGGTCTTCCCTCCAGGAAAGGACTCAATTATCCACGAGCAGATGCCATTCATACATCACAGCCTGTGTTGATTGAGGGTGATGTCTTTAGTCCGTGCTGACCAAAGCTTCTGTCCAGCTATATTAAGGGTTGAGGGTAACTGGGTCACGAGCTCCACTAATACCTATGCACATTGTACCCATCCTCATCCTAGATTTAAAAGCCAAGAACCCGTTCTGAGAAGTACATCAGATTTGACCCTGATCTATTACATTTTTTTTTTATTGAAGTCCGCAGAGCATATTTTTTATACTTGGGGTAGGTGGAGGACATTTTGGTGTTTGGGTTAAGAGATGATATTTGAAACTTGTGGTAGGTAAAAAACACTTGATATTTTGGGCAGGAAGAGGACATTTGATACTAAGTGTAGCTAGAGGACTTGATATTTGGGGTAGGTAGAGGACTTAATACTTGGGATGGATATGGGACATAATGATGTTTGGGGTCTGTAGAGGATAGTAAGTCGGTAGTGGATTTTTGGTGCTTGGGTGCTTTGGCAATATAATAAAAAGTAATGAATTATGAGTTTGCTTTTAGACAATCACAAAAGAGTTTGAAAAGATCGTAAAAACAGGCAATACTTAAAAGGGAAGCTACTACAGCAAACCATTTTTGCAGACTTAATCTAAGTATTACTTCCCTTGGACACACTGTACCAAGCGATCCGATAAACCAACTTTTTGATAAGACGTTTG